AGAAGATGAGGGGGGTATGTGGGAGTTTGAGGGTGGAGGTATGGGTTAGGGTTGAAATGTGGGATGGGGAGGAGATATGGGTGGGGTGGGATGGGAAAAATTGTTGGGATGATGGAGTGGATTTGAGTTTGGGAGGGATGGAATGAGGTAGTGGGGGTTAGGGAGGGGGTGAGGTGGAAGCGGTGGAATAAAGTTTTGTTGATTCAACACAAGGAATTTGTGGATAAAAAGTCCCTATAGCCGTACTTTAAATTATGCTTTACTGGTTGACTTGAGCATGTTTTGGCCTTAAAATTTTGACCAAAATAAAGTTAATGTACAAAAAAAAAAAGAGCCATTCAAAAGGTGACCGCAGAAGTTTGAGAAGCAGAGATGTACTGGATAGAAAGAACTTAGTAATTTTGTAGCTGGTAATCCATAGGCTCGGAAACTGAAAGGCAGCGAAAAAGTACAGGGACGAAATGTGAGGTATCGCAAGTGGCAACTTTAATGTTTGAATCCATAGACACGGTGCGGCAGGTTTGCTCCTTTTTTGGTTTTGTTTTGTTTTGATGCATCAGCAGCATGGCACCTACCCAGTCAAAACAGCAACGTGGCATTTTCGCGGGATATTTATGCCACGTTCACATTTTTCCCTTCGGCACCTCTGCGCCAGCGGCAGAATTGCTCCTGTGTCCGATTTAAAAAGTGCGCTGCAGTACCACAGAACTGCCGGAGCCGTCCCTCTGATGTTCCGTGCTAATGGATTCACACTATGAATCTGTTTGAGCAATCTGTACTTTCCCGGTGCCCACAGGCCTCCGTTCAGTTTCCGTGCCTATGAATGAATTTCCACCTTAACCTTATCCGTACGCCTTGGGGGTCATCTAATCTTGTACCCCCCGGTTTGTAGTCTTCACATTAATTAAGAATACTTCTAGAACGAAAATCACTTTGAAACTATCAGCATTTCTCAAAAAAATCATTTTGACAGACTGCTATGCAAAGCGTAAGTATCGGATTAACGAGTAAATTTCCTCTTTGGAAAGTTGTGGCACAGAGTTCCCCACGTCGTATGGATACAATAGTAAAACACGACGTACGGATAGGGTAAAAGTAACACTTTGTCATTACCTGTGCTCATGACGCGCGTCTCCACGACGCCGTTTTGGTGGAAGATGTAGTCCATGATGTAGTCGTAGTTGACGATGGTGAGGGCGGAGCGGAGCACGAGCGCCGAGTCCATCATACCGCCATAGAAGGCGCCCTCAGCCTGCGAGTAGGACAGGTGGCGCCTGAGGGGGTAGCCGTTGTTGTTCTCGAACAGACAGAACGACCGGGCCAGCTCTACCGGCTCCGAGGTGGATTGACCGCTGAAAGTCTGGAGTTGGTTGGGAAGGTAAAATGAGATGAGATAAAACAAGATAAGATATGATAAGATAGGTTAGGATAAGGTACGGAAAAGAAGGGGAAAAAAGGGCAGGGAAGGTGAAGTGAGGTGAGGTGAGGTGAGGTAAGGTGAGGTGAGGTGAGGTGAGGTGAGGTGAGGTGAGGTGAGG